AAAACAAACTGTTATACTCAAAACTAAACACAAGTCTGCGAAGAATAAACGTCGGTTTAAACAATAAACGGTGACTCGTCAAATATAAACTATAATCCAAAAAATACACACAAAAAGAGAACAACTAAACGATTTTTGAAAATTAAACGAAAAAATGAAAAAAATACACGGTAAGGGTCCACCAGTGTTAAATGACCTTGGCTGTTAATAGGACGTAAAACACAAACCAAAACAGATAAAGCAATATCTGTGTAAGCAATCTGAAGTGGCGATATATACCATTTCTTTATTATTTATTTTTTTTTTATTTTTTTTTTTACAGGGCTAAATCTAACATTCCAGATCAAGGCCTATGCAATGATATTCTGTAGTTTTTAGTCCCCTACCGGTGAAACCGGGGGGACTATAGGTTTTGTCTGCGTCCATACGTGTGTCCGTCCGTCCGTTACCTTTGGTTAAGGTTTTGGTTAAAGTTTTGAAATGGCTTACCATTCGCTTAATATTGATGTTAGGATGCTGATTCTTTGCATAAAGGTTCTGTAGGGGTCTAGCATTAATGTTGTTTAGTGAAAGTGGAAAAGTAATTTTAGTTTTTTTGAATTTTTGACATGTTTTGGACTTAACTATCTTTGCCAAAATCTGCAGGTTAAGGTTTGGGTTTAAGTTTTGTAATGGCTTACCATTCGCTTAATAATGATGTTAGGATGCTGATTGTTAGCCTAGAGGTTCTTTAGGGGTCTAGCATTAATGCTGTGGATTGAAAATGGAAAATAAATTTAATTTTTTGGGGAGTTTTTGACATGTTTTGGACTTAACTATCCTGGCCAAAATCTTCAGGTTAAAGTTTTGTAACGGCTCACCTTTTACTTTATAATAGTGTTAGGATGCTGATTTTATGTACAGAGGTTTTTTAGGGATCTAGCATTAATGCTGTGGATTGAAAATGGAAAATAACTATTCTTTTTTGAATTTTTGACATGTTTTGTACTTAACTATCTTGGCCAACATCTGCAGGTTAAAGTTTGGGTTAAACATTAGTAATGGCTCACCGTTCACTTTATAATATTGTTAGGATGCTGATTTTATTGACAGAGGTTCTTTAGGGTTCTAGCATTAATGCTGTTTAGTGAAAGTGAATAAATAATTCTTGTTTTTTATTTTTGACATGATTTGGACTCAACTATCTTGGCCAAAATCTCCAGGTTAAAGTTTGGGGGGGCTGGTAGGGGACATTATTGATTCATCAATACCCACAGAATGCTTGTTCATTTAGTTGTTCAGCAAAAATAACACTTTTGTAAGCATCAATCATACTTACAAACCCTCCCTATTTAGGAGGGAGACTCCCGATTTTAGACCCTTAAATTTAATGTTTTCAATCTGAATTTACTTAACTAACATTCCTATAATTTAAGATCTAATGATTTCATCTGAAAGAGCAACTCAAAATATGTCATTTTAAAGGGTTCTTTTGTCTCTAGGGAATTTATACACACATTTTATTTATGTTTTAAATTTGAGTATGCAGAATGTCCCCCATGGAATTTAAAAAAGTTTGCAAGTATAATCAATAGCGGCAAACGGTTATGTGTCATCAGCCAACACTTACATGATAGTATTTATGTAATTTTTGCTACTATTTAGAATAGCAATGGACTCGGTACTGCTCCTCTAAGCTAATCATTGATTGTGATAAATGTAGATCACAGCCTTCACTTATGAATTAAGATTTTTTTCCTTTCCATATTTTTAAGCTAACAGTCCATATTGTCAAATTCTTTCATATGCTTTGCTTATGTTGCGGAATATAAATTGCAATAATTCCCAACTATTTTACAACCAAAAGATACTGTTTTATAGGATGACATGTCGTTATGTGTCATAAAAGCAAGTAACAAATCTAGATTATCAAAATCAACGTTTGCCTATTATAACATGTACCGCTCTCACAATTTCCCTTAATCTGATGTCAAGAGGTTTGTCCTTTAAATGTAAGTGTTTATGGTAGTGTACTTTTAGGATTAATTTCAGTGTGTAAATGTCTATACGATATTGGTTATAGACTAGCATTCTCTTACATGGTATCATTTTCATGTCACGCTTGAGTTTGTTCTGTAATACAGCAAAAGTGATTTAAAGCTTACTGTGTGTATCAACAGTGTCTTGTTTTACAAATATATCTTAAAGACATTAAGAAAAATATACATTTGTAATTCCTACCTACCAGCATTCAACCATTCCCCATTTTGAAACTGCAGCCCAGAACTTAAATATTTCTTTCTTTTTTTCTCCACCAAGGGCAGCAGTAATTATAATGTAAGGGTTTATGGTCACCTTTGGCACAAACACAGTCTTATTGTTCACACCATTCAAGTCCACTTGGTCCGTTTACTTGATTCCCCTTTGGCTTTCATGGTTAGCCACTATATATAGTGCTATATAGTGCTTATGTTCATGTGGATGCTTTTCTTTCCAGCTGAAATAGCTTGGGTAACATGAAATAACTTTCCTTTCAAATCTGTGAATTATAACTTAAAAAAAGTTATTATTTGATAGTAAAATGGTATATGACCAGTCATGCCCATGATTGTAATGATTGAAAACTTGTTTCCAATCCATCTTTCAGTGGCGAAAGACATCATCCTCACCAAACTGGCATAAGATAAATGCAGATTGGAGACCGAGTCGCCAAGTCATCAGTATTTTCACAAAACCAGCAAAATTTCAGTCCCTGAAAATGTCCAAACAATACGATCAACTTTGCTGGGACCTCATGGCATCATTCATAATTCCACCATGGTGCCAAACTCAGCCGCTAGCTTCCTTCTTGGCCACGTCTGGATGTTGACTGGATGGTATATTCATTGGGTCCCCTTGATCCAAACATTTTGTCTACATCCTTCATATATTGCAACATCAGTGTCCTGCTACTGACATCTGAAAGCTGGATCAATGCAAAGACTGGAGGGAAACGGTGACATTGTTTTTTTGATACTACAGGCACCAAGCAGGTTTGTGTCAGTATATATTCCTACCCATGTGCTATAAATATTTGATTTATCATATATATATATATACATTGGCATATGTGTGCATATTTAACACCTAAGTCTTGTTAAGTGACTATTTACAATTAGTTCTAACATTAAATCACTGAACAAGTAGCTTTTGTACTACATTCAGTGGTAATACATGGAAGTTGTGTGAAGTCGAGGTTCAACAGAATCCAGATTTTATTACAAACCTTAAGAAATGTAAATACTTGTTGAACTTTGGAATCTTGAAAATGGTGTTTTTGACCATTAGCCCGTGTTATTCATAAAATCAAATGTTTTGTGTAGTCCAAATACTGTGGAATCACTAATTTTCGTGGTTTTTTTAATTTTGTTGATTTCATGGGTAATCTTCATCCACGAATTCATAGGTCCATAAAAGTTTACAAGTTTGATATAAAGCAGTTCTTTGTTTGAGTGGCTATTCGTAATCCACAAAGTCATGTACCTACATGTATGAAATGGTGCTTTGTTGGGGAACTACAAAATGCACACCCATAAAAATATCTGATTTCACAGTGTATGGTCTCATTTTGTTTTAATTCTCACTGATGAGATTTTGATGTAAAGTTGTATGTATTTGAAGATTATTCCTGAGTTACTAACTTACTAAGTACTTTATATGTACCATTGGTTCCTGTGATGCTTTCTGATGTTTGACCAACATATATAATTATGTTTGNAGATTTATACCAGGTGAGCGATTCAGGCCCATTGGGCCTCTTGTTAGTTGGGCATTGCTCCCAATCCCAATCTCAGGTATGCACATCATTGTTGGAGTACCGGTATACATTCCTCCTCTTTTTAAGTTTTTATCTTAAGATTTTGTTATCATGTACAAACAAACACATCTCAGAATTAACTGTATGATGAGTATATCCAGAAGGTTGCTAACAAATATGATGATAAAGAGAAATTGTGTAAGTACTGAATCCTGAGGGATTCTTATTGTAACATCTGTACATTCCACTTGTTCATCTTTTATACATACTTACTTTTGGTCAGGCATCTACATGCGAATGTTGTGGTTTCCACAGTGTTTCCTGCGGCAGCGTTCTGTGTGGTGTTCAGTGGCTTTGTCAGTCTGCTCGGGGTCACTTTGGATTCGACTTTTAATGCTTCTTGTTGTTTATATGTAACAGTCTCTTAGAAATCCTGACGAGACTTTAATATTGGGTTTGTTCACATTTATTAGTTGATACATGAAGAAAAAACTACAAGATATAGCAGAGGCTTAACACACAGCTTAGAGCCATATAATGCATTGCCAGGGACAAAAGACACACTGAACCAAAGGCTCCATTAGAATAAATGGACCTCGGAGTGCCAGGTGTGAAAGTGAATAGAAGTGAGAGTGAGGTGCAAGGGAAGAATTTCAGGTTAGGCTTATCCAATAGAAATCCTTACAGTCTGTCACATGTCAATACATGAATATGATTAAAAACAGGTAACATTTTCATAAACATTAAGGAAGCACACACCATCACATTATATGAATAAACCTTAAGGAATCACATGTCACTTTTTAAAATTCAAGCAACATATAACATGATATTGACAGAATAATTCAACCTGCCACATATACAGTGTTGCCCAATGTTGTTCCTGGACTGACCTGGGAGGTTGAGTTCAGGAAGATTGTACCGGGAGAGGGTGTCCTTAAGACAGGAGTGACGATTCTTGTTGAGGGAGTCCTTGGGCAGAGAACTCTTGCTAATGGTATCTTTGGGCTCGGGGTCGATGGCATTTAAGCCCGCAGAAGCAAAAGGGATTGGGCCCCCTGCTTCTGAACCTGTGAATGACAATTTTATACTATAACACTGATAAGTCAACAAGGGTCCTCCAAGCCCTCCCCATTTCCCATGGTAATTTTTTGGCCGCCTTGACTTTGACTTTATAAACTTTTAAAAACCCTTTTGTACATTTACTTAACACAGTGCATCACCATGTCAAATTTCAAAAAGATGATTATCATAGTTCCTGATATAATCTCCAGTAACTCTCACTGATGATATGTCCTTGGGCTTGGGATAAGGCCACCTGCTTCTCTTTCTACTGTTTCTTCAGTTCCACAGTTGCTTTCAAATAGTTCCACAAATGGAAATGTGAATGAAAGGTAATGACAAATGTAAATTATAACACTGACAAGTCAACAAGGGCCTGTCATATGCCTCTCCCCGTCCAATTCTTTTAGCAGTTACCTTGACTTAAGAAAACTTTTTTAACCCTTATTGTACATATCACATTGCATCATCATATCAAATTTCAAAAAGATAAATCTTATGGATTCTGAGATTTCGAAACATAAAGGTATCTACAGACAGACACACATACCATTATTGATAAAGTGCATCTGCATCTCTGATTCAGGGGCCCATAAAAGGTATTTATTTTTTTGTAATGAGGATTTAAAAAACCTTTTTGTTGCAAATAACACCTGTTTTACCTTATTGGCAGAAAGATTAATGGATGCGAGCTCGCATTCATTTTGCCTTCTTTTCTATAATGTCTGGCTGTTTGCTCATAACACAAGCTCGCATTCATTTTGCCTTCTTTTCTATAATGTCTGGCTGTTGCTCATGATGGGAGCTCGCATTCATTTAGTTTTCTTATCTATAATGTTTGGATGTTGGCTCAAAAAACGAGCTCTCATTCATTTTGCTTTCTTTTCTATAATGTCTGGCTGTTGCTCATGATGGGAGCTCTCATTCATTTAACTTTCTTTTCTATAATGTCTGGCTGTTGCTCATGATGGGAGCTCTCATTCATTTTACTTTCTTTTCTATAATGTCTGGCTGTTGCTCATGATGGGAGCTC